CGAAATTTACGATCAGCATTCACTTTCACTTACATCAATTTCTTGGATAATGTCTTTTATTTTGCTTCCTCCGTCTTTTATTTTGATCACTTTTCCCCTCTCTTCCAGCATCAGAGCTCCTCTTGTCTTAACTGCTTAACACCCAAAGGTCCATTTTGTAGCCATTTTAGCAATGCAACGTTCATGCTGCATCTGAATCTAACAATAACAAATACTTCCTGGAACCGGTGGATTTTCTTTCCACCATCTCACTGTCTCTAACTTGACCTCCCCTCAATCGCCACCCAAGACAGCGTTGCTCAGCCGATGTCATCGATGGCCAGAGTTAGTGCGATGGAACTCGCCTTCTCTCTAATTAGCGCTCCAGTTAGCGTAAGGTTTTAAGCATGATCACAAGTAAAGCATCCCAGGAAATGTTCGTTTATTTGACTGTCCGTCGAGCCACAAGCAATTTACTCTGAGCAGCTAATCGAATGCATTCCTCTCTATCTTCCACGGATCTAGCGACAGTATCTACACACATAGACAGTGAGGTCCCTCTTGGCCAATCGGAGGCCAGGATGATGCTCGGTAAACCAATGGCAGAGCAGCTATGAGTATGTTGCGTTCAGGAAACTCGCAGCTGTGAACGAAATAAACATCGTTCACTATGTAAACAAGTGTGGTGGTTGCTGTTGCTGTTTCCGAACAAAGCAATAGAGGTCGCTGTTGGATTAGACTTCGTTGTAGTGAATGTCTTCGCGAGGCTGGAGCGGAGAAAATGATTTCGTATCACGCAACAGGGGGGTTTTCGTCGTATGGGGGGCTGGAGAATGTGAATGGTGTTAATGCATTAAGATTTTTTCACATTAGGGGGTATTTTCGCCCATGTAGGTTTGGTTCTAGAGTAGTTTCACTGTAGTTGTCGTAGTAGTAGTAGTAGTAGTAGTAGTAATAGTATAACACTGGGGAACAATATGAAAAAGAATTCTGTTGAGTTAGATTATATATATATATATATAAAAAAAGAGTTTATGAATGGAAAGTTTACTTTTTAAAAGTTGCCAGATAGTTCCACTGACAAGACCAAAGTTACCTGGATATTTTGCAGTCGTAAACTGATCTATCATCACAGCACATCGAGTCTGAAATAACACTTAATGGCCAAGCACACAGCTGATGTGAGTACTCCGCCCCTTCGTCTAAGGCAGACAGCTATGGATAATTTTAAAGCAAAGAAAATGGATAACATGACGAAGAACGAATTTGCTGAAGCCATAGCTAAATGTATGGCTTCTGCATGCAAGCCTGTCAACATTGTCCACAGCAAGACTCAAGCTGAAATCATTCGCATTGCATTGAACGACTCCACTGCAGATTGCCAGCGAGAGCCTCCATTACAATCTATGTACAGAAATTGTATGTAGCGGAGAAGGCTAAGGTACACCAAGTGGGAGAAGACACTGTTTCGGGAGAGAAATAAGAGACTAGGTCGATAAGCCAATGGTGAAACAAGAGCAGGTAGCCTGTCGAGTACGATGTATGCCACTGACGCGATTGTTACTTGTTTGGAACTATTTTGTGTGGAAGGTTACCGTGTTCTGTAACCATATAAATAAAGGGGGTGGAGCTTCTCTGTGTTCGTCTGACAGTGACGGTGCGCTGAGGTATGTCGAGAGTTCAGCGGTGCAGTGGTAGGGACCACAATGAAAATAAGAAAACGTCTCCAGTGTTGTGCCTTGAACCAATTGTAGTCATCCGAAATGATGTCTACACAAAACCATAGAGAGACTTCCGTCCAAGAAGGACCAACAGAATCAACATAGCCTGACTGCTGTGTTCAAAGCAAACTTGAGAAAAACCAAGTGTGCAACCATGGCTTAAATCCACTATAGGCTGAGTACTAGTTTGCCTTAGATGTGCACTTTATAATTTTATATTGCTCAGTTTTGATTCCATAAAAGGAGCTGCTAAAGGAGCTCTTGTGTGACAAAATATTTTTTCACTGTTGTTGATGCACAGTAATATTGTGTGAGAGATTATGTTTGAATAACTGCTCCAAGTGATGTGATCCAGTGTTCATGTAAAATTGAAAATTGAAATTGTTGTTTCAGTAAATATTTGCATTTTGCACATAGAAAACTGATCCACGATTCCATGTTGATGAAAGCATTAAAACAGGAAAAAATAGGACAAAAAATATAAAAGGAAATTCAGAAACGATAAAAAATGTGAGTAATCACGACTAATTATGAGTTAATTTGAGTTATGACAGTTGCGTTTTTAATCAGATTAAATATTTTAATCGTTTGACAGCTCCCATATA